TTAAATGTCAATAAAGTTTATTTAAGTAATGTTTTCTTTGCTTTAAATGTTAATAAAAACTTGTTACATTTAAAATTCTGTACAATTTTTAATAATAGGGATATCATGATATTTTTTTACGAAAATATTAAGAAAGGATGAGTCTGTCTGAAAATGTTAATAAGATTTAGCGTTTCTTTTGAATAAATACCACAGGGTGTTCCCTATACGGATAAAACAAGGATATTTTTTTAGAATGCATTAATACAGTGATTTACTAGAAATAAACCTATAACATAAGAAAAAAATCATCAAAATCCAATCATTCGTTCAGAAAAAAAATAGATTCAAACTTATGGTACATTTAAGGTGGTGCGTTAATAATTTTGGGCAGTAGTATATATATATATATATATATATATATATATATATATATATTATATATATATATACCTTGGACTGTTTGTTGGAAATTATGATCGTTTTTCACCCGTGGCTGAGTATCCAGCCACAACGTTGACGATATTTATATATATATATATATATATATATATATATATATATATATATATGAGTTTTGAACTAATTGTTTGTTTGTTCTAAGCTGATTAATGGGAGAAATTGGTGTTATCAATAATGGTGGAAATTGAAACGTCAATAAACGTATTTTTATCTTTAACCGTCTACGGACGAAATTTCCAAAATTTTAAAAATTCTCCCGAAAAAATTATTTTTGCAAAAAAACTGAAAATTTTAAACGTTACGAAAACGTCACATTAGGCATCTAGAAGTAATACAATAATTTTAATGAAGATATTTATTAGTGCAAAAACATAATTTTTGAATAGCATGACAAATTTTAATTATGATGAAAATCGTAAAAAAAATTCGAATTTTTATTAATACATAAGTACACGTTGCACTTCTCACAATAATGCACAGGAACTGCTTTACAACCAGGTTTTCGACATCGTCCTCTTTTATCTTTCACAACGGGCCAATGTCCTATTTCATCCTGCCGAATATCCTTTTGAGGAATCATTTTTGTAGCTGCACTTTTGTGTTTTTTTGCTGCCTGAAGATCATTAATAGAGCTACTGCTGGGACGTCCTAATTTTTTGGTAACTGTCAGTGTCTTTCCTTGCTTCATTAGGCTTTCGGCTATGCGACTCTTAAACTCAAACAGAGACAGCTCGTTTTTCTTTGGAACACCAAAATCATTGCAGTCACGTCTATATAAAAGCCAACAATTTACAACTGCCATATCCATAAAATGGAATAAAAAACGATGGTAATATTTCTTCGATCCAATTGTGATTCTGTATAGACCTATTAGTGAATTCATAAGATCTACTCCGCCCATGAATTTATTGTAAGTTCTAATTGCTGTGGGGCACTGAACATCTACAGTATCTTTTCTTGTTTTATCCCATCTTCTAATTGTATCAAGAGGTTTGGCAGAGGAAAAGTTGGAAATAAGTAATACTGCACGAGAGTCGTGCCATTTGATAATTCTGCAAGGTACAGTATCAGTTTTTAACTCTATTTCCTGAAATGATCCGTGTCCTCTTGTTTTCAGGATTTTGTCTGACAATAAAGGACACCTAGGAAGACGGTTTAAGCGGACTGTTCCTAGACAATATATTTTCTTTTGAACTAGCTCATTCAAAAGAGGTATCGATGAAAACCAATTATCAATATAAAGAAGGTGACTGTCTTGTTGAATGCTTCTGCAGAGTGTTACAACAATATTGCCGCTGAAACCAATATCATTGTATCCTGGAGTAGCGGAATTTTTTCCAGTATATATTTCAAAATCGTACGCAACACCACTGGAGCCAGCCAACACATAAATTTTGTAGCCCCATTTGTGAGGCTTTTTTGGCATGTACTGTTTTAGCCCGCAATGACCCTTGAAAAGAAACAATTTGCTCATCGACCACGACCATCTGCTCCTTTGGAATATTTCGAAATTTCTCTCCCAAATGTTCTACTAAGGGTCTAATCTTGTACAGTTTATCTAAGTTTGATGGATCAATTTTGGTATTATCGGAGAAATGTATATGTTTTTTTATTGTTTCCCATCTGTCTCGACTCATTATTTCACGAACTGTAGTAATATCAAATTGAGAACTCCAATATAATCGAGTTTTTGGTAGTTTGATCAAAGACATATAAAATATTGTACCCATAAATTGTTCTAGCTCTTTTATTGTCAGCCCCAGAGGTTTTTTGGGGTTTGTTTGGACAGCAAATAAATTCGATTGGTAAGTAATCAAATTTAGAAAGTTATCGTCGAAAAATATTCTAAAATAGTCTATGGGGTCTTTTATATAAGTAGCTTTTGGTAAGCTGTAGTTCCACATTGGAGTAATAATGTCAGTATTGTTTTTTTCTGTTATATCAGTATATTCATTCTTATTGCGCGTATATTGTTCGTATATTATTTCTTCACCACCATCACTAAGATCTTCCTCAATTTCAGAACCAAAGTCCTCTTCTATTAGCCATTCATCACTTTCATTTTCAGAATCAGAAATACTTGCATCACTATCACTTGGTATGTCAATGGCTTGATGCCGTTTTCGTCCGTAAAACATAGCTGGATCCATTTTGAACTATTTTAGTTAATCGACTCTATAACGCCGAACGTAACGAAATCGTAACGTTTACAACACGTGTTCAATCTTCAATTTACGACTGTTTATAGTGATAAGCATGAACTATCCATATACTACACATAACTTTCCCGCTAATAACTATTTTACAGATTCCTTCCCGATAAACATTCACTGATTTTGTCGAAATCAAAATTACAGTTTTCTGTTAGCATCAGTCAACTTGTATTCTAATCTGTTTAGAGAAGTATGCGGTTGAAAAATTGGCCGGAGTGTGTCGCAGTGACTGTTTCAGTATGAAGCGTAATATTAAGAATTCGTAACTTTCGGCATCGATGAGATTAGTTTAATAGTTTGCCTACAAATTGCTTTTGATTAGAACGTTACGAAAACGTCACACTCGTCCTTAGAGGGTTAATTGTGGCTTATTCCCAGTTTAATAGTAATTAATTAAACATAGAATTCAGATAAATACATATTAAAGGGTAATTTTTTTAGATGTATAGAACAAAGATGATTTTTATAAATTGTCATGAAATTGACTTTATTCGAAAGATAATCTTTTGTCATTAGTATAATTTAAGTAGGGTAAGCCCCGGAGAGATGGCTCGTTGGGAGAGATGACTCGGTAAAATATAATATCACAGTTTTATTATATTTGGAGTCAGATACATTGCGTTATTTGAGACGTGCATAGGGTATTAGCAATACTCTGTTGTTTTCGTGTTTTGCCCAAGGTTGAAAGGTAAGATATTTAGAAATTCTTATTTACATATTCCTAAAACTTTTTTCGGTAATCGTCAAAACTATTGTGCACTTATTTTTGGCTGTATTTTATCGAAGTCAGGTTTTGATGACGTTATTTGTATCGTTGAGGTTATGTAGGCATAGTTGCCGGTCCTTTCAAACGTTGCCAACACACGGAAATTAAGTGGGCCATTTTACCCTGACAATTCTAACCCTAACAATGGGGTTAGTTGGCTCGCAAATTCTAGGAAGATATTGCCTAGCTCATTAGTTACTTATATAAGGATATATAAATTTATTTTCAGCCATGCCAACGAAATATAACAGAAAAGGAAATTGCCAACGTGGTTTATGAACTAAAAATCAACTTGAATCAGCCATACATGACGTAAGAAGTAGACAAATGGGGGTCAATGCTGCAGCCAGGAATTTTAAAGTGCCAGCACCTACATTAAGAAGAAGAATGAAAAGTAACAATTTAAAAAAAGAGCATTAGGAGCAAGTAGTGTTCTTAAAGAAGAAAATGAAAATAAAATGAAGAAACATATCCTAAAGTTGCAGAAAGCTGGTTTTGCACCTACAAGAGCTGGAGTTAGAGAAATGGCATTCAGATTAGCGGAAGAATTACATATTAAAACTACTTTCAACAGGGAAAAAAACTTACAGGTTTTGACTGGTTTCAATCATTCGTAAAAAGAAACCCTGACTTAAGTATAAGAAAATCGGAAGGCGTATCCTTAGCAAGAAAACGAGGTATGAACAAAAAGGATGTAAGCGATTACTTTGATCTGTTAAAGCAAGTTATTCTAGAAAATGAGTTGATAAAGAAGCTCGGGAGTTTATTTACCATGGATGACACAGGACTCCAACTGAATAATAAACCTGCATTTGGTGTAGCCCAAAAGGGATCTAAAAATGTAGCATCAGTAACTTCTTCAAAAAAGGGGGAAACAATTACATGTATCACCTGTTGTAATACCGAGGTTAACTAACTTCCCACGACCTGCATATTCAAAGGCAAAAATAAAAAGCAAGAATTCGAAGACCTCCAGGATCAAAGGTTAACATGAATGAAGAGTCCGCTTACATAAACACAGATATATTTATTGATCGGTTAACATATCACTTTGTTCCTAGAAAGCCCATAGGAAAAGACCTACTGTTGAAATATGCATTCTACTGTGTTTACTGAGCCGCACTACACAGTTTTGCAACCATTAGATCGTTCATTTTATAAGTCGCTGAAGTCACATTATTACAATTCTTGTAATTCATTTGTTAAAATGAATCCTACAAAGAAGATTATTGGCTTGCAATCGGCAAATTATTAAATAAGGCTTGGAAAAAAGCTGCCTTAATACAAAATCTGGCTCTGACCGTCATGGCTGGCTCTGACGTAGTATAATCCGGAGGTGCAATTTTCGATCACATTTTACAATATTTGTCGCGTATATCGGCAATAACATCGGTAAATATCAAAATGGCCAGCAGTTAAAAAGTGTCAACTTAAATTTCTATATGTCTAAAAAACCACGCTGTAGAACTCATTATACTGTATTTTAATGAGATTGATGGGTATATTATTTAGAGGGTATTATTGAAATTTTAATAGGTAAGGTATTTAATGCAACTGTCGTTTTATAAAATTTTACTTACACATATTCTCCCCACATCTAGGGTCTCGACTACATCCTTAAACAGCTTTTCTCTGCTAGGTGCTCCTCCGCAATGGGCTTCCTCGATGTGAATTGGAAGTTTTTTAAGTTTTTGATACATCACCAAGTCAGCTAACATGGTGGGAGTTCCCGTTATCACCGCACAGCTATAAGTTAGAGTTGGTTAATTATACATTTACGAGAAATAAAAAGAACTAATGCAGAAACACATATCATCTAAAGCAATGGAGTCGAGGAAAGCTAAACAAAAATTTAATCAAACCTTTTAGAATCAGCTAAAGATCTGAGCGAAAGAAAAATAAATACAAGCAAGTCTTTCCCAAAAGCAAAAAACTCCGTAGTCCTGCACATAGATAAGGGGAAATGTTGTTGTTGTTTGTTTATGTTTAAATGACTGCGGACACTAAATCCATTCGCCAATCTTACAATTTGAGGTGTAGTGTGTGTGTGTGTGTGTGTAGAGTAATTGTCTTGATACTTAGCAAAGTCGACGTCATTGTTTTTGCTAAGAGACGCTAATTGTATCCGAACGTCTGCGGTCCCTCCGGTGTGTACCGATCACACAAGGATAGAAATTATTTTCATTTATTAATTTTTTTAATAAACGAAAATTTCCACCCAGGTGGGATTCGAACTCACGACCTTTAGGTTTAAAGGCAGGCGCTCTTACCACTGAGCCACAGAGGGGGTTAAAGATGAAATGCAATAAAAAGAAAAAAAGCTTATCTCAAGTACATGTCAAACATGACACAACAAGCATACAAAAATTAAAAAAAAATAAGAAATGGAGATGAAGTCAATAATTTATAAAGCCAGTGTAAGACCAATAATGATATATGCATCAGAAACAATACCCGACGTAGCCACAACGCAAAGGCTACTGGAAACTGCAGAGGTACTGAGAAGAATTACAGGAAATACACTGAGAGATCAAAAGAGAAGTGAAGACATAGAAGAAAGTGTAACATACAGTGTATAAATAAATGGACACAAAATAGAAAAAAGAATGGAATAACCACATAAGCAGAATGGAGGAGATCCGTGTCGTCAAAATACAAGAGATAAGTCACCAATCTGTAGAAGAAGTATCGGACGACTACGCAAAATATAGAGTGACAACCTTCCATAGAGATATTAATCCGCCAATGAACAAGCAGAATTGCTTATAAAGAGGAAGAAGAAGAATAAGAAATAAATTACATGCATTTTTAAAAATTAAACATGAGCACTGGGAACATTTCTCAAACTAATAGACTGAAAAAACTAATAGACTCAAGACACTTCGAAAAACATGCATGAATGCAGGAGTATCTAAAGAAGATATAAACAAGAACAACGAATAATATATTTTCCAAGAGTGGACAAATAAATTCCTTCCGAGTAGTGGTGAACTATAGTATTATACAGTGCTAGTCAAAGGTCGCCCTCGTATTTATTAAACGGTTACTGTTATAGTGGTGAACAGACAGACTTCTCAACTAGTCATACCAGGTGATGTAATAGTGACAGATGACGTTACAGCGCTACTGTGACAGATAACTTTAAATGGGATCTTATGGCAAGTGATACCTCGTTCAGTCATATTAATTTTGTTTGAATGATAAATGTGTTGCTTGTGTGAGTCCATTTCAAATAGGTAAAAGAAATAACAAATAAGACTTACTCACAATCAGTTTAATTTAACTTATCTAGACGACCGGTTTCGCTTTCTACATTATACAAAGCATCTTCAGGTCTCGATACAAAGTTAATTAAATGATGCCGATACTCTATTAATTAATGGTTGGAAGAGCATGGTTTAAACTATCCTGAATTGTTGAATAGAGAACTTAAGTTTTGCTATTGTAATTGTTTGACAATAAACAGGGAAGTTCTTGAGGAGATAGATTTTATCTAATGAAGTAGAGATAGGTATAATGTGATTGTTTGTTAGATGAGAGTGATGCTCTATATTATTGAATTATTTAAAAGTTATATATATTTAAATATGTGACCTAGTCTTGGAGGACGACAAAATCAAAGGCGTGCAATCATGTAAATATTTGGGGGTCATTTTCATCAAGAAGGGAAATAGCGCAGATGAAATCAGGGACAGAATAACCAAGGGTAGAGCAGCGACCCGTGTCTTAAACTCTCTTCTCTGGCAAAAAACAATTCTTCGACGAGAAACTAAAAAACACATTTACGGTAGTATAGTTCAAAGTATATATATATATATATATATATATATATATATATATATATATATATATATATATATTATATATATATATATATATAAATATATATATATATATATATATATATATATATATATATATATATTATATATATATATATATACATATATGTGTGTGTGTGTGTGTGTGTGTGTGTGTGTGTGTGTGTGTGTGTGTGTGTGTGTGTGTGTGTGTGTGTGTGTGTGTGTGTGTGTGTGTGTGTGTGAGTGTGCTGCTTTTAGCGCAGAAACGGTGTGCGCTGCCGTGGTCTGAGCTGACGTGGCCTGAGTGGTGTGGGTTGAGGTGGGGGGTCGCTAAAGTAGCGGTCGCCATGTTGCCGGAAGTCGTTTAGCATCATCACGCGTATTTAAGCTGTTGGGCCGTTTTTCAATTTCGATGGCTTCACGAATAATTATAGCTGTAAGGAAGCGGATGGAAGCGATGGTTTTTGCTTTTTTGAAATCTATTTTGTGGCCTGTCTGAATATGATGTTGGGCTAGGGCTGAAGTAGTATCGGAATGTTTCACTGATAGAGAATATTCGTAAATACGATTATGGATTTGTCAGTTTGTCTGTCCTATGTACGAACGTGGGCAACTGGAACAAGGTATTTCGTAGACACCATGGTCTTCATTGGGGATTTGATCTTTTACGGATCTGACGAGAGTGGACAACTTGGAGTAAGTAGTGAAGACGATTTTGATGTTTAGAGGGATAATAGTTCTACTGATCTTGTCAGTGACACCTTTAATAAAATGTAGAAAAATTTTAGGTTTGTCCGGCGCCGTAAAATGTAGAAAAATTTTAAGTTTCTTTTTTGGATGGAATGGGGTTTAGATGTTTTTGAATGCTTCCATTGATTTGGGGTTTGTGATAGCCGTTTTGTAAGAGTGTTTGCCTTATTGAATTGATTTTGGATGGTCTGTGATTGTTGTCGCTAAGTCTTATGGAACGGAAAATAAGAGTGTTGATAACTGAATTAAGTTTGGCGGGGTGATGATGTTACTGGGAATTGAGATAACGGTTTGTATGAGTGGGTTTCCGGTATGCGGAATAAGAAAAACTGTGAGGTGGGTTTTTCTGAATAAGAACATCAAGGACTGGCAAAGACGCTTCAGGCTTAACTGCCATTGTGAATTAAATGTTGGGATGTATTCCATTCAGGTGGGAGAGGAAGAGATCTAATGCGTCTTTACCATGGGACCAAATGCTAAAGGTTTCATCGACGTACCGTAACCAGCAGGTGGGTTTTAGATTTGATGAAAACAGGGCTACTGTTTTGAAATGTTCCATGTAGATATCAGCTATTACGGGAGAGAGTGGGGATCCCATTGGGGCACCTTTAATTTGACGATAGAAATGATTTTGAAATGAAAAATATGTATTAGACATGCAGTGTTTTATAAGAAATAATGTGTCTTGGGGGATATGATGTTTAGAGTCTAAGATGGAAATGGTTTCATTGACGGGAATGTTGGTAAATAAAGAAACAATGTCAAAACTAACTAGTATATCTGAGGGTGAAATAGAAATGTTTTTCAGAAGATCAATAAAGTAAAAAGAGTTTTGACAAAGGACGAGGCGTTTTCGGCTAATTCGGCATTAGCTGAATAGCTTTGGTAATAATAATAACAACATTAAACGTAATGTGGCTTGTAGATCAGCAATAACAATTAATGATCTTTATTCTAAGATCAAAGATTAAGACTCCCATAGATATGCTTAGTAACATTGTTTACAACATTCCATGCCTTTCTTGTAACAATTTCTACACTGGTCAAACATCTTAGTTATTGAAATCACGTATCACACTACACAAAAGTAATTCTCGACTTCACCCTGACCGCTGTGCATTAGCCAAACATGTCCATTCCACTGGTCATCTCATGGACTATACAAACACTACAATTTTCCACCGTGAGAACAATAAATCTAAAAGAGAGTTCATTGAAATGTCATATATTTTCGTTAACGATATCTCCATCGATGTTAAGAGTGACATTAAGAATCTAAGCGATATATACCACTTCTTACTTAAATCAGGTACCAAGAGCATTACAACATCACAAATAACTAGCTTGACTGATATATGCATTAACAACTAACCCACTTAAATAATAATTTTTATTAATTAAAAAAGATAACATTCCATTACTTTTCTTAGATACATCTCAATAAGATATTATAATAATACATGAACAATATAATATAATAAAAAAAATTTCAATTAAGAAAATCTAAAATATTAATATTTCCTTAAACTGAGATTTAACTTTATTCTGTTTTACCAATGAACCTTAACGACATAAAGCTTAAAAAAAATTAAGTTATTGCCGACAATTTAAATAATTAATTCCTTTTAAATGTAGTTACATTGGATTTTTAGATTAACCTTGGGTACACTTTTGCGTTTCAAGTACATTTCCAACGGTAACATTGTTTTCACATAGTAACAAAAAACCACTATGTTGTTACTAGCTAAGTTTATTAACTAACTCTCCAATTCTAAGTTACGGTAAGATCACTAGAGTTTTTTAATAAATAATATATGGTAACTAATTATAATTTCTTTTCTTTCAGCCCAAAGAAGCCAAATTAATTCTCTTTGGTGAAAACGTTTGGCGAAACAATTGATACTCATTTAAGTATTTCTTGTAGATTTCCCTAATATTTAAGAGTTTACTATTTAACGTATCTGCAAAGATTAAATTTCTTTTCTAAATACATACATATATATATTTATATATATATATATATATATATATATATATATATATATATACAGTTAAATAAATAATCTTTAAAAATTAATTCAAAATGAACTCATCTAATAAAATAAATTCATTGTAAATAAACTTTTAACTTCAAATAATATTAGTGTTAAAAGAAATAAATTAAAATAAACATTACAATCCAGAACAGTAATCCGTTGACAATTATTATCAATTTTTTATAATAGTACATTGTTTACCGGGTAGGAAAAGCATTCCTGGACGACTGTGAAGATTGCTAAGTCGAGGCGCAAGCCGAGACTTAGCAACACAGAGTCCAGGAATGTGGCTTTTCCTATGAGATAAACATACTATTTTTCCGCAAATCGTTTAAAATTCGACAGATATTGATTGATTTAAAAAAAACGCGATAATTTTATTCCCAAATAAATGGTGCTTTGAAATTCCTAATAAAATTACTTGGGTTACTATGGAAATGTATTGAGGTTGAATTGTGAAACTTGACGCTTATAAATTTAATTGCTGGTGTTCTCGAAAGTAAAATGATAAGTGATGATGAAATTTCCATTCCTGGGACTCCTCCAGAGCTGGTTGAGGCAGTGAATACTGCTTCATTAGAATTATTGCCAAAGAAATCAAGAGAAAAGGACGAAAATGCATACAGATGTTTTATGGATTATCGCATGAGTAAAAATACGAGTTCTTTCTCAGAAAATGTTGTACTGGCATACTTCCTAGACCTTTGTTTAAAGATGAAATCTTCAACATTATGGGCCAATAATTCAATGCTGAAGTCAACCCTTGCACTTAAACACAATGTAGATATATCTACATACTCAAAACTTCGTTCTTTATTGAAACGGCAAGCTCAAGGTTATAGGGCAAAGAAATCTAAGATTTTAACGAAGGAAGAAATTGAAAAATTTATCCAGGAAGCTCCAGATAAAGAAAATTTAATGATTAAGGTAATTTACAAGGTTTTAATTTCTATTTAGATTATAGCTTTATTTATTTTTTAGGTGGCTGTAATATTTGGTATTTCTGGGGCCTGTAGAATGGATGAGTTAGTCCGAATGACTGTACACGATATAGAAGACTTAGAATCTAAGCTTTTAATCAGCATACCTGATTCGAAAACCAACAAACCAAGATCATTTGTAATTAATCAGATCTACTTGAATGTTTATCGAAAGTATGTTTCGTTAAGACCAGAAAATATGAACAGTGACCGATTTTTCTTTAAATATCAAAGCGGAAAGGGTTGTAGACAAGTGGTAGGAATTCATCAATTTAGAAAAATGCCCAAATAATTGCTACTTATTTGAACTTGGTAAATCCGACAGAATATACTGGTCACTGCTTTCGTCGGTCTTCTGCAACAATATTGGTTGACTCTGGTGCCGACATAACTAGTTTAAAGAGGCATGGCGGATGGAAGTCATCAAACGTTGCTGAAGGATATATCGAAGAATCGCTTAACAATAAGTTTGAGGTGGCAAATAAAAATTTCACAGTACAAAATATTCAACAAAATGACACTTCCACCCTGCATGTTGTCCAAAATGTTTCTCATAGTTCTAAGAGTGTTCTTCCAATGTTCAATAATTGTACTAACTGTCAAATTACTGTAAATATAACAAATTGATCTTAAAAATGTATTCAGCAATGACTTGATGTTTTCAAAATATAAATTAATTCCTTATAAGCAATGTGTTTTCTATCATTTATGTAGAATACTAACAACTGTACGGAAATATCATTTCCTTACAGTAAGGAAATGACATTTCCTTACAGTAAGGAAGTCCTGACTTTTTCTTCAAGAAATTTTGACAGAAATGTCAAAATTTCCTGGCGATTTGCAGAAAAGGTTATTATTGTTGGGACTTACTGAATGTAAGTATAAAAAAATCTCTAAATCTTTAATACAAACAAAACAATAGCTGCATTTTCTACTTTTTCTTTTAAATAAATAATTTGTAAGAAACTTACTGATCTCCACTAATCGCATCAAGCGTGCTTTCAGAGTTGTAATAGAATGACGGTAACACCAATGTGTTACCGTAATTGAGGGTAATGAAGGTGAACCCCAAGCCTAATACATGGAACTGGGGCAATACGAAGCAAAATCGGGTTGGTTTTCGGTCTGAAGCAACTCTCATACCAAGAAATATGACTGTATTGGTAATTTGGAAATGGGTTAATCCAACTGGTTTGGGATTGCCGGTGGTGCCCTGTAGAAAAAGTACATAATTAGTATTGAACTATTATAACAAGAGATTTTGAATTATTAATTTTTGGATTTTTGCGTTCACATTTTTTTAAAACTCAGATTTTGAGTTTATTGTATTTGTGTAATTCTCTACCGTCAATTCGCAATAAAATATTACGAACAAGTTAATATTATTTCCAGCAAAGGGAGAAAATACCTGCAATCTAAGGCGGAACGGTTTTTTGATCTTCTGTAAAATTAACTAAACAATATTGACCCATTTTTTAGATTACAGTAACAAACTACTATAAGAGAGTGGGACCTCGTATTTGCAGGAATAACTGGATGACATAAATATAAAAAATTTGCACAGAGCTATCTTCTCTACAGTCCTGACTACCCGAAGGGAGTGTAATTGTCATTTTGATGATGTGTATTATCTATCTCCAAAGATCTCTATCTATTTTCATTTGCCTAAACTCATGCATAGTCTTGTGCATATTTTTGTAATTTGGTTGATACATCTTGCGGTGGATCTTCGTTGTGATCTTTCTTTGGATAATAAGTCTCCATGTTTTCTAGTCTCCCCTTATAACATGTCCAGAGTATTTTAATTGTTGTACCTACATGGACTTTGCTGGAGAGTTCACGGAATTCATAATATTCTTCTTCAATAGAATATTTCAATGGTGCCTACCTTTCTTTTTTCCGATTGTCGTAGGGTCCAAGATTCACATCCGTATGTCAGTATTTGGAAAATTAAGATTCTGTATTTAGATTCTGTAAGATTCTGTAGATTTGAGTGTCCTTCTATATTTTGGCCATCTTTCCTACAGAGACTTTCGATAGATCACACTGAGCTAAACTCTTATATTAAGTGCCAAGTTGCAACGCGAAATGTTGGTGTTTTTTTTACGTAATGATTTTTACTCACTGATAACCCCCATATATTTAGGAAGATATATAGCGAATATAACCACTTTGGAAATCTGTTTTTTTCTTTCATTTCGTATTTTTAGAACGATTTTCACAATTAAAATGAAAAAGTAAAAATAAACTTATTTTAAACTAAAGGTGTGGTATATTCCCAAAAAATAATGAAAAGTCTACCTAAGACAACCAACTAGTCTTTAATCTAAATTAATACACACTCTTATCCGTTATAACTGGCATCTTTTCCTCGCTCAACTCTCTCAGTGTCGCTATCCTACTCACAACACTTTGTTGTAACAAACTTTTTAATAAATTTTTTTATGAGATCCAATGCCTTTTCATTCAGTCACATTGCAAATTGAATAACTGCTCTATTTGCCATTCATTTTAATTACTTTTCACTTCTAGCAACCCATGACTATACAATGAACTAATTAAACATCTGTGGACATGGTATAAGGATTTAGTTTTGCCTTTCGCCTCTTTAAGAAATGACTACTGCTTTTTTTTTGCATAAGTGGATTTGGTGTAGACTGGTAGCTGACTTACATTTTATTGCTTATTGGAGAAGGTCTGTTTCTACTCCCAACTTTTAAGAGTTTTTCGGAACGGTTTTTGAATCAAAAATATTTGATGGGGTTATTCTAGAGGAGTTCATTCTAGAGTGTCATCAGAAAGTTGGTTAGCTACTAAATTTAGAAACTTAGCTGAAAAGAAAGAAATTTTGTTGTTGAGAGTTCTTGTGATTACTTGGTCTTCGCGATAGCAAGTTGTTATAAGAACCTCCTTTGCTCAGATGTTCGAACTTTTGATATTTCTTAGAACTGACGTAAAACTTTTTCTGAAGGTTTCTATCCTAGTTTGGATAGTAGAGGTGTTGGCTACTTTCTTTTTTCATAAATTAGTTTATTTGCGTTTTGTTGATTCCTGGATAGTCATTCTCTGTACCGGACAATTGGCCTGATAAAAATATTGTAAGTTATTTTATGGAGTAACATTATTAAGATTCTCACATTTACCATACAATATTTTAGGGAAGTTTGTGTAAATTCTTTATAAATTATCACCTAAATAGGACAACGATGGTCTAAATATGAGCCCTTCTCCTTCTGGTTGTTTCGGTATTCTCGTTCAGATATAATTGAAAACACTTTAGATGTTCGACTAATATTTGAATTTTTGTAGGATTTAATGCCGTGTTCAATGCTTCGAGACTCGAAGAAAAAACCAAAAATAGAAGCTTCAAAGTAGAACATCGATGAATATAGAGACATGAAACGTCAGAGGTTTTCTCTAAACTGAAACACTTTACATAGTAGACAAAGAGATATCACAAAATATAAATAGATATGATCCAACAAAACACACTTGGAGAGATTAAGGACATTTTAAAATAAAAAACTACGCTATCTACATATCAGATCCTATAATGGAAAATATGGGAGTGCCTAATTACCTAGTTAACCTAATTAGAAATCTGTATGATAAAAACTCAACCAAAGTTAAAATACATGGAATATATTCAGATGCGTTCAAAACAAAGCAAGAAACTAGCCAGAGCTGCAAACTATTACCATTATTATACAACATAAATATATTCGGAATATATAATAAGAAAAGTACTAGACGAATAGAGTAGAGGAATCATTATCAGGCAAATCATGAACCTGCGATACGCAGATAATACATATACTAGAATCAAATGAAGTTGAAATAATTACCAATAATGAAGGATTAAACCAGGTAGCGAAGAATTCGGAGTTCAGATTACACCGGAAAATAAAGATAATGATCGTAGACAAAGCAAATAATATTCTACCGCACAAACACCAAGTGGCGAATTTCGAAGTGGTAGACATATTTGTAAACTTGTGCTCCCTGATAACCAACAATGGCGATTGCTCCGTAGAAATCAAGTGTGGACTAGAAATGACCCGACGGCAACAGCTAAATTGAATAAAATATGAATGGACCGAACAATGGCAAGCAATACTAAGTTCAGCTGAAACATGGACTCTCAAAAAAATCGATAGGAGTAAGATTTTAGCGTTCAAAATGTGGGTCTTTAGACAGAACAGAATTATATTGTCAATTCTGGCTTCATATATAAGACAAGCTATTAAAAAAAGTAAACCGAGCATACTTAATTGACTTCGGCTACATAGCTAAAAGAAAGGGGACCATGGAATTGTTGGTAGTAGAAGGAAAGGTGGAAGGCCGAAGACTAAGAGAAAGATGTCAACACGATGGACAGACTAAATGACGATTCTGGTGGGAAAATTCCAACATGAAGCCGTTCATATGGCACAGGATCGCAATTAATGTAGGCAGCAAGCTTATAATATTTAGAGTGTCACCACGCACTGACAAGGGCTTAAGGAATGAGGAAAAGGAAGGTTTAATGTTACTCTCCATTTATCTATTTATTGCATCACCTAATGATAGAGTCGTCAAGGCATGCTTGTGAGCGTTGGGAGGTTCTATGGACAGTAGGGTAGAGTTGCATCTGCTATTAGAGATAAGGAAGTCGGTGTTGTAGACTTTAGAGAGAATATGCGCTAGTATTGAGCTGTGTGAAATAGGACGAAATAAGAAGTCAGGGTGGTATTCTATTCAGATGAACGAAAACCAAATCTTATTGAAGTTTTTCGATTAAGTCTGCGTGATTCACCTAATCAAATGCTTTATGAACTTATAAAAATATGCCGATTGCTTGCCTGTGGTGTTTTTTGCCTGAGAAATGACAGTTGCTGCTTTTATTAATGAATTGTCTGTGGAATGACCAGCTCTAAATCCGAATGTGGCATTATGGATAGTGTGATAATTCTCTAAGTATTCTAAGATTTATTCTTCAAGAATTTTCTCGTAGATCTTGCCTAGACTGCTTAAGACCAAAGTTGTTAATTTATAAGATTCAGTGCTAGTGAGAGATTTCTCTGATTTATGGACCATAAATATTCTAGTAATTTTTTAACAATAGGAAAATATTCCAGCTGAAAACTAGCATTAATCATTCTGAAACGACTACACGTTTACGAGATTATGGTACAAGAAGAAGCAGTGTAAGTGGTAGTGTTGCAAAAAAACTATATCATGATATAAATATAATATTACCTCATTTTTATAATTCACCAAATAATCAATTTAGTTACTTACCGATGTAAATATGATATGGGACAGATCTTCTGGTGTAATCTTTGATTGATATTCCTGTAATTTCTTCTTGGAGGCAGATTTCCCCATTGCGATAACCGATTTGAAGCAACAGGTTCCCCTAAAATATAAATATTACTATTTATTTGTTGAGAAATTTTTTTTAATGAGTAGAAAATAATTTAAAAACCTTTCTGAAAATTTTGTCGGCATGATCGTTTCGAAAGCGTTGTCTGGATAGTTCCGGTTTCTCTGCAGCAATTTCTATGAATCTGATTGACAACTGGTCAGCAATTGTAATTTTAAGATGCTTCAGCAGCTCTTTATCCGTAGTTGCTTTGCTAATGTCTTTCTTCATCATGATTTTATACATTTTCCTTATTTAAATCTTTACTTAAATGGTTTCTTTAATTTAAGTTAAATAAAAAAGTATGCGTAATATAATATCAAAAGTTTTTATTGATTCGAAAAGCCGTTGGATGCCACTATGTATAGATAATGTCGTTTAAATACCCAACGCGAATAGCGCGCATCAGAAATTTCAAATTTTCTATGACTCTTACACATAAATAAGAATAAATTTAAAAAATCACAAGAAAGAAAGTCTAGCGTGGTTAAATTCTAAGTCACTCGCCAGTTTATATCACCTGCACAAGCTGTGCAACTACATGTAGTTGGTGTCTATATCATCCAATTCAGCCAATAATAGGTTGGTAATCCTCGATCTATGACGTGCTCCGTTGATGGTGATGGTCTGGTCGGCGTCATTCTCGAAAGAAATATGGACTAATAATACCGCCAACCTGAAATCCACAGCAATCAACGCACCTTTTTAAAACAGAAAAGCTAATAATCAACTGATAACATTAATTAACAAGAGTATAACATAATAAAATACCAGAAGATATGAGCACAAGCAATCTAATCCTATTAGTTAGTTGATAGAAAAGGGATATAAGAAACAACTAGAAAACTACAGACGCCACAATTTCTCTAAATATTACTCTGAAACAAATTTGTCAAGAACGAATAAATCAGCTCATAGACTTAACAGATGAACAACAACGTTTCCGAAAGGGAAATGAAGTACCCAGAGATTACACTGTTCAGAAAATGCTACCAAAGTTTTTTATCCACTTTTCATATTCCGATTCCTAGTTTTCATTCTAGTCTTTCATTCAAATATCGAGCCTGAAGATTCCTTTCTCACCGACATTGTCCGTTGAATGCCTCCTAACCATGTTTTTTTGGTCTTCCTGTTGTCCTTTAGATTAATACATATTTTAGCATTTTCTTAACAAGTCGTCTATAATCCATTCTTACAACATAGTTATTGAGACTTATATTTTGACGTATTTAGTTGTTGAGTATTTTTCCAGTCTAGATTTTTTTGCAGATCTTTTCTAGAAGTTAATTTCTATTTGGATTATCGTACTATCTATAAAGTACGATACTTTTAAATATTTAATTAAATATGTGTTTTATTTCCCTGCCTTCGTTAGAATGGGTGAACTAAGTAGCCCTGTGCCCAATGCAGCCGGCCACAAACCCGAATAAAAGGGGAGTGATAAAAGAGTAAAACCTACATCAAAAACCAGCGTTCAGCTGATCCGACTAATAACACCCTGTGAAGAACCCGGCCTAGGGTATAGGCTAAGCAAAAGCCAATGATGTAGGTGAGTAGCGAAACGAGCAATTTGCAGATTCTGGGGCAGACTGGACTCCTCAGCCTTGGAATATAGTCAGTCTGGAAAAATAAAAACCTAGTCAAAACCTATTTATCAAAAAATCACCTAGTCCTCCAGGTAGGTGATTGAGGCATAAGGCCAGTCTCTCTTTATTAAAAAAAAAAGATAACAGTAGGAGGTACAGTAGACTAGCAAGAAGTTTCATACATGTTTTCTGTATCTATTTAAATTTAAATAATATTTTTTTATTATTTATATTTTAAATAAATTTTATTATATTAAAATAATTTATTAGATTATTATGTTTGTCCATAACGCCACCTGCTAAAGTATGTACTAACAAAGCATTCGTTGTTTACTTCTGACAGACCTGTTCAATTCAGACAAAATAATAAAATATAGATAAATGTTATTTGATAGTATATTTTATTATTAATAAACTAAATTAATATATTCCAGTTACGTAATATTAAAGCCAGTTATCCACGAACACTTACGCTATTTTTTTATTGGTAAACTTTAAAATCGTATATTATTGCTACAAAAAATTAAAATAAGAGGTAATATTGTAAATTGGTTGAATTTATGATGAAGCTACATCAGTATACCTTTCATTGTTATGGAAAGGAGAAAAACAAACATTAATTTGCAATCTGTCACACAAGATTAATTCTTATTTCTGGTTGTATATTGCTTTAAAATAAGTTCTAACATTGATTAGTTAAATAGTAAAGCTGAAGTGCGGTTAATATCGCGTAAGAATACGACCAGTTCATTAAATGGAAGGGAGAGCAATAGGTAACAAATAAAGATAAATAAGTTGTGCTTGCTTATCTTCAGAAAATGTCGGAACAGTACAAGCCGTCGACTATGATCCCCAACAACTATATGTTGGAACAAGCAGTTATTTTGAGAATAAAATATCAATTTACCGAAATTAAATCATGAATGTGTTGCTTGTGTGAGTCCATTTCAAATAGGTAAAGAAATAATAAATAAGACTTACTCACAATCAATTTAACTATCTGACGACCGGTTTCGCTTTCTACAATATGCAAAGCATACTCAGGTCTCGATACAAAGTTAAACAAATGCTGAAATAATAAAAACCCATATTAGGGTGTTGTCCAATAACGATAAACAAAGTAGATGTTGTAAATTACAATAATTATGCCAATATTACATGTCTGTGGTTTTATTTAAATGAGTAAGTTAAATAAAATGTATAAAAATTTTAAAAGTTTAAACAGACAAGGTAAGGCCCACAAATTGTTATAAAATAGTCTCTTCGATTGTAATAAATTAACAAAAGAGCAAATAAATAAATAAAATAAACATTACTTACATGCCGATACTCTATTAATTGATGGATGGTAGAACATGGTTGAAACTACTATATATTGTTAAATGGAGAACTCAATTCTATTATTGCAGTTGTTTGACAGTAAACGGGAAGTTCTTGAGGAGATAGATTCGATCCAATGAAGAAGAGATATGTGTGTGATTGTTTGTTAAATGAAAGTAATGTAATATATCATTGTGTTATTAAAAGCTATTTATACTTATTCGAGAGATATATTTTTGAAATGTGTGTTATTTATTGAGTAATTGTTTTAAGAAGGTGACAGTTTTATGACAATGAATAAGTTTAGATGTAAAAATTGTGTGGGTGTGCAATTATTTTCTAACCTGTAGTTATCAAATTACTTTGATAAAGTTCTATTGGCAATTAGTAAATTATTGGAAAGTCAGTGAAGTCAGTCAGGAAGTCATTATTGACTTTCCAATAATTTACTAATTGCCAATAGAACTTTATCAAAGTAATTTGATAACTACAGGTTGGAAAATAATTGCACACCCACACAATTTTTACATCTAAACTTATGCATTGTCATAAAACTGTCACCTTAAAACAATTACTCAATAAATAACACACATTTCAAAAATATATCTCTCGAATAAGTATAAATAGCTTTTAATAACACAATGATATATTACATTACTTTCATTAACAAACAATCACACACATATCTCTTCTTCATTGGATCAAATCTATCTCCTCAAGAACTTCCCGTTTACTGTCAAACAACTGCAATAATAGAATTGAGTTCTCCATTCAACAATATATAGTAGTCAACCATGTTCTACCATCCATCAATTATTAGAGTACCGGCATGTAGGTAATGTTTATTTTATTTATTTATTTGCTCATTTGTTAATTTATTACAATCGAAGAGACTATTTTATAACAATTTGTGGGCCTTACCTTGTCTGTTTAAACTTTTAAAATTTTTATACCTTTTATTCAACTTACTCATTTAAATAAAACCACAGACATGTAATATTGGCATAATTATTGTAATTTACAATACAATCTACTTTGTTTATCGTTATTGGACAACACCCTAATATGGGTTTTTATTATTTCAGCATTTGTTTAACTTTGTATCGAGACCTGAGGATGCTTTGCATATTGTAGAAAGCGAAACCGGTCGTCAGATAGTTAAATTAAATTGATTGTGAGTAAGTCTTATTTATTATTTCTTTACCTATTACCGAAATTATTTTATTTTTTTAATAATTGAAAATATAAAATTTTTTATGATATATGGAATTATTTTTACAGTTTAATTATATAAATATTTTATATTGATTACTATTAACTTAATTGTTTGATAGCCAAAACTTGCTGACAACTAAATATTGGATCAATAGGATTTTAACAAATTAAAATAAAAATTAATAAGGTGTAACGTCGCCCTTAGCTTGAATAACAGCCTGAAAACTATTAGGGATTGTATAAAATAATCCATATATTCTGTAATTTAGCACATGGTTGTAACAAAGTATGCCGAAGGTTATTTCTTAGGCGTTGTTTTATTTTGTGCCAAAGTGTCTCTATTGGATTGAGATCCGGGCTGCTAGAAGTATGTAACAAAACTTTCATGTCATGTTGTTCCATCTATTCTTTGGTAGATTTTTCGTATGGTATGAAGCTCCGTCCTGTTGAAAGATAAAATATTTGGATGGATATAACTTTGCCCCACTTGGTAGAAATGAATATTCAAGGATATCTTGATATTAAGCTACGTTTACTATGGCCTTAAGAAAATGTAAAGTTACCAACCCTTTGGCCGACATACAACCATACCCCATGATGCCATGTGGAAACTTTACAGTTCTTCTCTTTACTCTTTATGGAAGGAGTTCTTTACTCCTTATGGAATGCTTTTCCGAATCACACGCTTTTGATACAGATATTAAATTTGCTTTCGTCGCTGTAAATAACTTTGCCAAGTTATGTTTGGTTCACGAAAGTTTTGATTTAGCCCAGATGATTTTAATTTTAAATAAATCAAAACATAAAATAGTTTTATCGCAAAGAAAATCCTGTCAAACATACTTTATAAAAACCTATCAAACATACCTTATA